GCCGCCCACCTCACAATACACAGCTCAGAGCGTGGGTGGCAGGCAGCCTCAACACTCTCCCCCTGCCCGCTATGTCCGCCCTCGTATGGTTCCTCCTCCTCCCCCTCCTAGCACTCTACCCTCAGTACTGGGTACTGTCCAGCCACGTTGATCCAGCCAGCTGCTCACAAGCCACCACCGGCGATGAACTGGAGGGCGGTACAGCTGTCTATATTCCCGGTAAAGTGAGTATAAGGAAGGAAGACCTTGTTTCCCACACCCTGACATTCGTGGTATTGGACGGTGACAATAACCCTGGTGCCTGCGTCAACCACAGCTACATACAACACACACCACATATAGATGTGAAAGCGGGAATAAATTGCAACTTAGTTAACAGTTTTGCCATTCAACTTACTGACAATTGCCAACGTAATGCACAACACTTCACGTTCAGAAACGTTGAAAATGAACTGGAATTTAGTTTCAATGGTGTAAACTACCTGGAGCATTTTCCAATTGGAAGCAAAAAGGCAAAACGCGTAAGGGTAGAGGGAGCTGCGAGATTCAAGTATTCGCAACTGGCATCAGACAAGACTGCAACAATCCCGCCCACCACCACAGACACTCCTGTAGAAACTACTGTGTCCCCGCCCAGTGTGACGAATGTCAGCAGCTCTCGTGGTGTGGGTGGCGACGGCCGCGAGCAACACCAGGTGCTGCTGCAGGTGGACGCGGGCCTGGTGGCGGCGGCCGCCTGCCTCAGTCTGGCCATGTTGCTCATCACCTTCTCTCTGCATCATTAACACAACTTGCAACACTCAAAAACTTATCAGTACTACTTGCTCCAAGTGATTATGGCGGCAACATGTGCATTTATATGTATGTATCATGTACGTTAACTCAGCTTTATTTTACCACTAAAATTCATAATTTATGTATTTAATAAAAATATAAACAAGAAATTTAAGTATGGCGGCAACATGTGCATATATATATATATATATATATATATATATATATATATATATATATATATATATATATATATATATATATATATATATATATATATATATATCTCATGTACGCAAACTCAGCTTTATTTTACCACTTAAAATCATAATTTATATATTTTAATAAAACATAAACAAGAAATTGAATAATCTAATGCATTTCATTATTGCCTGTATCTGAAGTGCAGCCAGATGGCTCACTACCACTATATTACCAGCTGCTGGACCACCAGGTCCAGCCGCCTGCTATCGCTGTATCTATCGATGATTTCTGTGTTGTTAAGACTTCTCTGGTGATGGTCTGGTTGTGGGTAGAGATTATATGTGCCTTAATGGAGCCCTGTTGCACATATAATCTCTTAATATTAAGGTACATATAATCTCTTCCCACAACCAGTCCATCACCAAAGAAGTCTTAACAAACAACACAGAAATCATCGAGAGATAGAGCGATAGCAGGCGGCTTGACATCTGCGGGGCACTACACATCAAAAAGTCAACACCAGCAATCAACAGCCAATTAATGTACAACTGTATTCTACCCACTTCAAGACTCTGTACCAATATACAAGCATCAAGAGGAAGTATGGGCCAATAGGCCCTTTGCAGTTACTTCCATTCTTATGCTCTCATATCCAATTAATACCAATTGTTCCGTGTTTAGTCTTGTGTTTGTCACAAGTTTGTTCACCTCATCCAAAACTGTTGTACCATATCACCTCACCCAAATGCGAGTAAAATTTGAAAGCAAATGGCATGTTTACAGGTTACAGTTGTGTGTAAACTAAAGTCTTTGAAAATGTAATAGGTAATTACGAAACGTATTCAGGCGTCGCGTCAGACTAGAAATAAAAATGAATTTTGAGGAATTGATTTTTCAATTACCATCGACAGTGAAAAGAAACATAAGAAATATTGAGAAAATTCGTGTTAGAATTATTAATCTTACTTTTTCGGTCATATTTAACAACATATGTTTACAAGAAAGACGGCTACCAAAAATATATATATATATATATATATATATATATATATATATATATATATATATATATATATATATATATATATATATATATATATATATATATATATAGATATAGAAGGGAGTACCACCTCTGGCTGGAAGAAGGGGGACCCTTGGCCTCGGAGGAAACCACGTATAACGTGGTTTAACGAACGCTCCCAATATACTATGTATATATAAATCATCGATATATATATATATATATATATATATATATGTCGTACCTAGTAGCCAGAACGCACTTCTCTGCCTACTATGCAAGGCCCGATTTGCCTAATAAGCCAAGTTTTCATGAATTAATTGTTTTTCGACTACCTAACCTACCTAACCTAACCTAACTTTTTCGGCTACCTAACCTAACCTAACCTATAAAGATAGGTTAGGTTAGGTTAGGTAGGGTTGGTTAGGTTCGGTCATATATCTACGTTAATTTTAACTCCAATAAAAAAAATTGACCTCATACATAATGAAATGGGTAGCTTTATCATTTCATAAGAAAAAAATTTGAGAAAATATATTAATTCAGAAAAACTTGGCTTATTAGGCAAATCGGGCCTTGCATAGTAGGCTGAGAAGTGCGTTCTGGCTACTAGGTACGACATATATATATATATATATATATATATATATATATATATATATATATATATATATATATATATATATATATATATATATATATATATATATATATCGGCCATTTTCCTGTTCCAGCGCCTCAGTGTCGCAGTTCAGCGGGAAAATGCGTGCTGTATCCTGGGTACGCACCCAACCTCCGAGGAGCTGGACGACGTCTTCGAACACTGATTGTTATATTGTTATATATGTGTGTGTTCTCTGTAAACTGTAGCAATGCAATAAAATAAAATAAAACAAAATAAATAAAATTAATAATAGGGGGTGGTAGGAGAGAAAAAGATTAAAGCGTTCAGTGAGAATCCACAAGGTTTTCTCTGAATATTCTTTTATCTTTCCAAGTTCCGGTTATAATTCACACTAAAATCCATTACGGTGGAGGAGACACGATCCACCGTCGGATAAGGAATCGGATCTCCAGGAAGATGACGTCATGACCATGTGACTCCGGAAGTGAGGTGAGATTATCTGATCCTTCTGGGTCGCCTGTGATTATTCCCTCCCACCAATCCCCCTGCCTCATGTCACCCCCCCCCCAACCTGAATCAGCGGTCCCCAGGTCACACCTTCCGCATGTCTCCATGTCACCCCCTTCCCCCATATAACCCCTAACACAGCTACCCCCATCTCCTTAGTGCTTCCTTAGTGTGAATATTCACCTAAATGTGAGGGACAACATTTGAGCGCTAGCTCCCGTATCCGGTCATACTAGATGTAGGTTCACTAATTCTGTATTTCCCTAATTGACCTTGTGGGTGGGACCAAAGAGCTACGGCTCTTTGGTCACGCCTCCCAACCGTTTATCAACTGGTGTACAGATTACTAAGTATTTGGCTCAGTCATATCTACATTTGAAGCTGTGTATGGAGTCAGCCTCCACCACATCACTGCCTAATGTATTCCATTTGTTAACTACTCTGATACTGGCAGCATCTTCTAATGTATCTGTGGCTCATTTGGGAAATTAGTTCCTATTTTTATCCTCTTATACGACTACCACCTGTGTTAAATAATCTGTTTCTGTCTAGCCTATCAATTCCCCTGAGAACTGTATACGTCATGGTCATGTCTTCTTTAACTATTTTGTTTTCTAGTGACGCAAGGTTTAATTTCAGTAGACTTCGAAGCCTTTCGTAGACCTTTCCTATTTCTGGCTTTCCGTAAAGTAACATATTTCAGACAGACTTTATATGTCTCGGAAGTCAGTTGTTCTGTTCCTTTCGTTAGCCTTTAATTACTTAGAACAGTTCTAAGTAATGATGGCAAGTGTTTCCTGCCATCATTCTGCTACTGTTGTCTCCGGCTTCCACCCGCACCTCTGGTCCTACCACTTAGCACTTTGAGCACTGTCTTTGAGTCCGCCGTGACAAGTCCCATCAATGTCTTATAAGTTGTCATATCACCTCTGTTTCTTCTAGAGTTTAGACACTGTGTCACACCGCTAGAAACTTTAGGGTGTAACACCTAAGCAATAAGGTGTGACACCTATATAACAAGGTCCTATGAGGACATTGTTATATAGTCGTAATGGCTTGGAACTTTCCCTGATAATTCCCCCCATCCCCCCCCCCTCTAGATCAGGAGTCGTCAGCCTTCAAGTGACCTCTAAGACGTCTTTCTTAATCTAAGGCAAAGGTCAAAGGTTGATGGAAATAACAAACATTTTCTATACCTTTGATGCACAAATAATTACAAAATAACAATTGCTGCCACAACAAATTGTTCCATAGTGTTACTCGTTAATAAAGCATTTAACTTCAGAAATAAGTTGGACCAGAATTCAGCAAGCCGCAATTTACGAAACCTGTTCATCTTTTAACAATCGTGCTGAATCTATTTACATTTACTGAACATCTTGAGCTTCGAAACATTACAAACTTGTTTATACCAATGATGACATTATATTGTGAAGTTCTAAAGCTCGAGATCAGTTTAATAAATTTACCAGCCTCCATGATTGAGGAGAAGGGAAGGAAGCTATCAGGAGAAAGCAGTAAGCCATTACGACTAGAGGAGGAGAGATGTACATGTTTCGCAAGTGGTTGCGAAAATGCTTGATCAATCCTGGCTCTGAACTCTGCATAACCAGGGAGGATATACGTCACGTGTACAACGTTGTTGTTATAGAACTAAAGAGCCTCTGTATTAATAGTATTATTGTCTAGGACACACGCAGTACATCCTGTAAAACTATTCTCTTTTCAGCCAACACACACATCGTGTCAGCAAGGCGGACAGTCGGCCTCATATCTTCACTCACTATATTTCCCATTTCTAAGCTATGCCTTTCCTCTGTACCTCTCCATCCTCTTTACTACAAAAAAAAAAAGTTTTCAGGGACGGAAGTTCGCATACGAGTTTGTCAGTCACTCGATCATATCCACCGAGCAGGTCGGTTAGGTGACGGTGAAGCTCCTGGCACCAGCCGGTTGTGACGGTGAATATATGAACAGTGATGAGGCCGCCAGCACCACACACACCTGTCTCACCGTTCACTATGGACAAAATGGCCCTGTGGCTCCTACTCCTCCCACTCCTCGTTGTCTCAACACCTGCTGATGTTAGCCTCCCACCCCAGGTATTCTCAACACCCGCAACAACTGCTGTTGATGGCTACGTTCACACAAATACAACTTTTACAAGACAACAACACCAACATGTTAAATCGTCTTGCCAACACCAAACAGGTGACGGCCATCTGCATCCTGGCTGCCACCAGCTGCCCTGTCACATACTCAATACCTCTAAGGCGCTGCTCCTCCCGGCCGTAGTCAGCCTCGAGGTCCCGAACCAGAAAACGAAGTGGAACCCAAGACTCTTATTTGTGGATGATCGCGGTCATGGTCAAGGCTGTGTTGACTTGCTGGTACACGAGGGAAATATATCACTCCAGACGAAGCGTCAGTGTAGTGACTCAATTATGGACTTTGCCATTGTCCCATTAACACTGTTCACTGAAGACACGTGGATACATTTCCAAGCGGTCGTCATTGGTAATAAGATGAAGTTAATGTTATGTTTGCCTGGACGCAAGAGGAACTTAGTGACGCTTCCCTCTGCTGCAACACATGTTCAAGTATTACGAATGACTTGGTTTGGCTATTCCAGCTTGGATACCAAAAGTCAGAGATCAACAACACACTCTCCTGACAGCAGCTTAATTGTGAACAGTACTAGCCCGGCTTCTACGAATTTTTCGTTGCCTTCAACACCAAACCGTTATATTCGTAACCAAATCACCACCACAGACACTCCTGTAGAGGCGGCTGTGTCCCCGCCCAGTGTGACGAATGTCAGCAGCTCTCGTGGTGTGGGTGGCGACGGCCGCGAGCAACACCAGGTGCTGCTGCAGGTGGACGCGGGCCTGGTGGCGGCGGCCGCCTGCCTCAGTCTGGCCATGTTGCTCATCACCTTCTCTCTGCACCATTAACATTACTTGCAACACTCAAAAACTTATCAGTGTTACTTGCTCCAAGTGATTATGGCGGCAACATGTGCATTTATATGTATGTATCATGTACGTTAACTCAGCTTTATTTTACCACTAAAATTCATAATTTATATATTTCATAAAAATATAAACAAGAAATTTAATTATGTGATGCATTTCATTATTGCCTATATCGGAAGTGCAGCCAGATGGCTCACCACCACTATATTACCAGCTGCTGGACCACCAGGTGGCTTATAGTTAGACAGAGAGATAGACACAGACAGATACACACACACACACACACACACACACACACACACACACACACACACACACACACACACACACACACACACACACACACACACACACACACACTCGCACACACACTTTTCTTAAAACAGAAGAGGACTGTTTGAGGCTTCAAGAAGACCTAGACAAGCTGAAGAAATGGTTGAACAAATGGTTGTTAGAGTTTAACCCAACCAAATGTAATGTAACGAAGATAGGTGTAGGAAGCAGGAGGCCAGATAAAAGGTATCATCTGGGAGAGGAAATTCTTCAGGAGTCAGAGAAAGAAAAAGACTTGGGGGGTTGATATCACCCCAGACCTGTCTCCTGCAGCACATATCAAGAGGATATCATCAGCGGAATATGCCAGGCTGGCCAACATACGAACGGCATTAAGAAACTTGTGTAAAGAATCATTCAGAACTTTGTATATCACACATGTCAGGCCAATCCTGGAGTATGCAGCCCCAGCATGGAGTCCATATCTAGTCAAGCATAAGACTAAATTGGAAAAGATTCAAAGGTTTGCCACCAGACTAGTACCCGAGCTGAGAGGTATGAGCTACGAGGAGAGACTACGGGAATTAAACCTCACTTCGCTGGAAGACAGAAGAGTTAGGGGGGACATGATCACCACATTCAAGATTCTGAAGGGAATTGATAGGGTAGATAAAGACAGGCTATTTAACACAAGGGGCACACGCACAAGGGGACACACGTGGAAACTGAGTGCCCAAATGATCCACAGAGATATTAGAAAGAACTTTTTTAGTGTCAGAGTAGTTGACAAGTGGAATGCATTAGGAAGTGATGTGGTGGAGGCTGACTCCATACACAGTTTCATGTGTAGATATGATAGAGCCCAATAGGCTCAGGAATCTGTACACCTGTTGATTGACGGTTGAGAGGCGGGACCAAAGAGCCAGAGCTCAACCCCCGCAAACACAACTAGGTGAGTACAACTAGGTGAGTACACACACATATCCCCATCCCAGACCCTCCATGTTTACCTACTCCAGTGGGAGCAACAGAAACTGTGGATGGACAGAAAAAAGAGTCAACTTCAAAGTGATATACACGAACATAGATGGGTTTACAAGCAAGGCGAGTGAATTTAAGGAAAGAGCACAAGAAGTAGACGCCGATGTAATTGGAATCACTGAAACAAAACTCTCAGGAATCATAACAAATGCGGTGTTCCCCCCAGAATTACACTGTAATAAGGAAAGAGAGGGAGAGTAAGGGAAAAGGCGGAGTGGAGAGGAGCAAGATTTTCATTATCTTTCTTGGTGACAGGTGCGTATGATACTTGAATGTTGGGGTACAGATAAAGAGGAATATCAGAGACAAGTAGATGTCACTTAAAAGGAATATTGAGTTTAATGAGATTGTAGGTATTTTTTCTCAGCCATTTATCATAAAAGGAGAGAGTTGGTATGTCGGTACCAGTCAATAGGGTGTTAACAGCACTAAATAATTTTTCTCTGAGCATTGCAGGAGATGTAGGATTTCCCATGACTTTAAGGCAAAAGGTCGTGTTGACTTGCTCCATCCCACTGATTGGTCCCGAAAAAAGTCTTCGGATAATTGAACGAATATTTCACACTTTACCAGAATTGAATCCATGAGAATCGGATGGTGGGGATTAGGGGGGAGGGGGGTAATCTTAAGGTTATCTTGAGATGATTTCGGGGCTTAGCGTCCCTACGGCTCGGTCTTCGACCAGGCCTCCTTTTTGTCACACACCCCCAGGAAGCAGCAGTCTAACTATTTATTCCTATTGTTTCCTAACTATTTATTGCCCAGTTACCTATTTATTGCTAGGTGAACTGAGGCAATAGGGTCGAAGAAACTCTGCCCATTTGTTTCCGCCTCCACCGGGGACCGAACCCGGAACCTTAGGACCACGAATCCCGAGAGCTGTCCACTCAGCTGTCAGGCCCCTTACCAGACAGGGTCTCGGTACTCTTACCTCAGGTCAGGGTTGTGAATAATTAATATTATTTTTTAAATCCTTTAAGTTAGGTCTACTCCGACCAGCCTACGTCCGTCCCATATCTTAGACACCTTTTCTTGCAAATTTAGGCAAGGCAAGCCCCAATTGTGTGAACAGACTAGTCCAAGAACTAAAAGGTACGAGTTAATAGGAAAGGCTATGTGAATTGCACCTCACATCGCTGTAAGTAAGAAGAGCTCAGGGAGACATGATCACCATATACATACTTCTCAGGGAATTGAAAGGGCAAATAAGGACGGATTATTTAACAGGGATGGTACTTGCATAAGAGGACACAAGTGAAAACCGAGGACCAAAGAGCCGAAGATCAACCACTGCAAGCACAACTAGGTTAGTACAGACATTCTCTCTTATAGTATACTAGAGGGCTACGAGGTGTTGCTTGTGTCTGTCTGTCTCCCATCTGTCCATCTACCTCGCCACCTATCTATCCAACTATCTATCCATCCATATATCTATTTGCCCATGTATTTATCTAACTATCCATCCTTCCATCTACCATCTATCTTCTCATATATCATTTACCTATCCATCTATATCTATTTGTCTACCCATCCATTTATTCATCTCTCCATTCATCTAGCCATGCATCATCCATCTACGTATCTATATCCATCTCTCCATCTATCTATCCATCCACCTAATAATCTTTCTATCAATCCATCTATATCCACCTACTCATCTGTCTATCCATCTACCATCCATCTACCCATCACTTATCTATACCTCTATCTGTTTACCGATCTACCCATCAATGCATCCATCTAACCTCCAATCTACCCACGTATCCATCAATCTATACATCAATCAACGCAACTATACATCAATTTATCCATCAATGTATCCATCCACCTATCTATCCATTTATCCATCCACCGTCTGTCTCTCTGTCACTTTGCCCGTCTCACTCTGTCTCAACGCCTGTCTGTCTCTTATATTAAAATATTATTCCCTTAAACATGGGTGGTGGCCAATGAGAAAATCTTAGTGGTGAGAAATACTAAACAAAATATTAGTTACTCTTCACTCTGAAAACTGTTCGTAGCTTCAGTAACTTTTGAAGCTGTGAAAGAATCGTTTGACTTATGCGAGTACGAACAAATTATTGACAGCAGGAAAATTAACAGAAATTAAATTGTTTATTTTCCCGACATCAATGAATAATGATGCATATTACTTTAAGCAAATAAAATTTATGAAAATTCTATTTTGAAAATATTTAGCTGAGTAGCTAACGGACAAAACTCGTTGAATTCTGGTGACCCAAACTAGCCTATGTTCATCCCGTACCTCAGACCATTCCCTCTGCAAACTTGGGTGAGGTTACCTTGAGGTGTTTTCGGGGGCTTAGCGTCTCCGCGGCCCGGTCGTCGACCAGGCGTCCTGGTTGCTGGACTGGTCAACCAGGCTGATGGATGCGGCTGCTCGCAGCCTGACGTATGAGTTACAGCCTGATTGATCAGGTATCCTTCGGAGGTGCTTGTCACGTTCTCTCTTAAAGACTGTGAGGGGTCGGCCAGTTATGTCCCTTATGTGTAGTGGAAGCGTGTTGAACAGTCTCGGCTGGCTCTAACCTTGTGGCCTCCAACTTTGAACAGACATTTTCTATATATATATATATATATATATATATATATATATATATATATATATATATATATATATATATATATATATATTTATATATATAATGTCTTGTATCTTTCCAAGTTCCGGTTATAATCCGAACTAAGATCCATTACGGTGGAGGGGACAAGATCCACCGTCGGATAAGGAGTCAGATCTCCAGGAAGATGACGTCAAGACCTTGTGACTCCGGAAGTGAGGTGAGATTATCTGATCCTTCTGGGTCGCCTGAGATTATTCCCTCCCACCAATCCCCCCGCCCCCCACTATGTCACCCTCCCACCTATCGTGCCTCCCCTTCCCCCTTATGTCACCCCCTCCACACGTCCCCAGGTCACCCCTCCCCCACGTCCCCAGGTCACTTCTCCCCCATATCACCTCAAACACAGCTACCCCCATCACCTCAGTACCCCCCCCCCCCTCATAGTGATTCACAACACTGTTCGTAAGAGTTGACTCTCAAGGCATCTGGCCAAAGATCACAGATGTGACGGAATTTTATAGTTAATGAGTGTTCCCCGTACATGGAGCAAGTGACCTGTTGTGTGTTGCATCCTCTTGCCAGAATATATCAACAAATATATAAATTATATGTTAGGTAATGATCGTTCGTGTGTGTATATTCACCTAAATTTGAGGGACAACATTTGAGCGCTAGCTCCCGTATCCGGTCATACTAAATGTAGGTTCTCTAATTCTGTACTTACCTTATTAAACTTATGGGCCTTGAGCTACAGCTCTTTGGTCCCGCCTCTTAACCTTCAATTAACTGGTGTACAGATTACCGAGTATTGGGCTCTATCATATCTTCATTTAAAACTTTGTATGGAGTCAGCCTCCACCACATCACTGCCCTGTGCATTCCATTTGTTGTCTACTCTGATACTGGCAGCATCTTCTAATGTATTTGTGGTTCATTTGGGAAATTAGTTTCTATCTTTGTCTTCTTATACGACTATCACCTGTGTTAAGTAATCTGTCTCTGTCTACCCCTATCAATTCCCCCCGAGGTTTGAATATGTCGTGATCATGTCTCCCTTGACTATTTTGTCTTCTAGTGACGTGAGGTTTAATTTCAGTAATCTATCTTCGTTGCCCTGGTATTCCTTTCCTATTTCTGACTTTCCGTAAAGTAACATATTTCAGACAGACTTTATATGTTTCGGGAGTCAGTTGTTCTGCTCCTTTCGTTAGCCTTTAATTACTTAGAACAGTTCTAAGTAATGATGGCAAGTGTTTCCTGCCATCACTCTGCTACTGTTGTCTCCGGCTTCCACCCGCACCTCTGGTCCTACCACATAACACTTTGAGCACTGTCTTTGAGTCCGCCGTGACAAGTCCCATCAATGTCTCATAAGTTGTCATATCACCTCTTTTTCGTCTAGACGTTAGACACTGTGTCACACCGCTAGAAACTTTAGGGTGTGACACCTAAGCAATAAGGTGTGACACCTATATAGCAAGGTCCTATTGTGGACCTTGCTATATAGTCGTAATGGCTTGGAACTTTCCCTGATAATTACCCCCATCCCACCCCCCACCCCTCTAGATCAGGAGTCGTCAGCCTTCAAGTGACCTCTAAGACGTCTTTCTTAATCTAAGGCAAAGGTCAAAGGTTGATGGAAATAACAAACATTTTCTATACCTTTGATGCACAAATAATTACAAAATAACAATTGCTGCCACAACAAATTGTTACATAGTGTTACTCGTTAATAAAGCATTTAACTTCAGAAATAAGTTGGACCAGAATTTAGCAAGCAGAAATTTGCGAAACCTGTTCATCTTTCAACAATCATGCTGAATCTATTTACATTTATTAAACATCTTGAGCTCCGAAACTTTACAAACTTGTTTATAATAATGATGACATTGTATTGTGAAGTTCTAAAGCGCCCGAGATCAGTTTAATAAATTTATCAGCCTCCACGATTGAGGAGAAGGGGAGGAAACTATTAGGAGAAAGCAGCAAACCATTACGACTAGAGGAGGAGGGATGTACATGTTTCGCAAGTGGTTGCGAAAATGCTTGATCAATCCTGGCTCTGAACTCTGCATAACCAGGGAGGATATACGTCACGTGTACAACGATGTTGTTATAGAACTAAAGAGCCTCTGTATTAATAGTATTATTGTCTAGGACACACGCAGTACATCCTGTAAAACTATTCTCTTTTCAGCCAACACACACATCGTGTCAGCAAGGCGGACAGTCGGCCTCATTTCTTCACTTACTATATTTCCCATTTCCAAACTATTCCCTTCGTCTGTACTTCTCCATCCTCTTTACTAAAAAAAAAAAATGTTTTCAGCGACGGAAGTTCGCATACGAGTTTGTCAGTCACTCGATCATATCCACCGAGCAGGTCGGTTAGGTGACGGTGAAGCTCCTGGCACCAGCCGGTTGTGACGGTGAATATATGAACAGTGGTGAGGCCGCCAGCACCACACACACCTGTCTCACCGTTCACTATGGACAAAATGGCCCTGTGGCTCCAACTCCTCCCACTCCTCGTTGTCTCAACACCTGCTGCTGTTAGCCTCCCACCCCAGGTATTCCCAACACCTGCAACAACTGCTGTTGATGGCTACGTTCACACAAATACAACTTTTACAAGACAACAACACCAACATGTTAAATCGTCTTGCCAACACCAAACAGGTGACGACCATCTGCATCCTGGCTGCCACCAGCTGCCCTGTCACATACTCAATACCTCTAAGGCGCTGCCCCTCCCGGCCGTAGTCAGCCTCGAGGTCCCGAACCAGAAAACGAAGTGGAACCCAAGACTCTTGTTTGTGGATGATCGCGGTCATGGTCAAGGCTGTGTTGACTTGCTGGTACACGAGGGAAATATATCACTCCAGACGAAGCGTCAGTGTAGTGACTCAATTATGGACTTTGCCATTGTCCCATTAACACTGTTCACTGAAGACACGTGGATACATTTCCAAGCGGTCGTCATTGGTAATAAGATGAAGTTAATGTTATGTTCGCCTGGACGCAAGAAGGCTTTGGTGACGCTTCCCTCTGCTGCAACACATGTTCAAGTATTACGACTGACTTGGTTTGGCTATTCCAGCTTGGATACCAAAAGTCAGAGATCAACAACACACTCTCCTGACAGCAGCTTAATTGTGAACAGTACTAGCCCGGTTTCTACGATTTTTTCGTTGCCAAACCGTTATATTCATAACCAAACCGTTATTATAGTTGGAGCATGTTCTGCTGTTTGCTGTGTTGTAATTTTTTTATTCCTAATCAAAGATTTCCGCTCCTCTCCCACGAGTGCGCCACCAGCCATCACACACACCATGGCAGTTAGACCTGAGCGTCCAGGACAGCAACCAGAGGTGATGGTCGTGATGCCCCCCAATGCATCATCGTCTACTGACCTTTCTCCCATCACGCACTATACCCCCAGCTGCTCCTCGGAAAACGATGGTAAACTAGATTACAGTGAAAGAACGAACAGCTGTAGAGATGGCAGTGTTCCCGGCAGCTGCGGACCTCATCACAGTGTGGCAGCTCTGGCAGAGTCTCCTTACTTCCACACCAGTGAAAACAGTCTGTACCAGTTCTGTGTCTCAGAGTAAGCAAGCCCGCCACTTGAGGACAGTCACACAAAGACACCATCCCACTATATATTCGACATACAGGAGCGCCTGGCACATGAGCCTCGCAAGACCAAACATACAGGAGCCACTTAACACAATACCGTTAGTGTCCACATAAAGCTCTACAAGACAAACAATATTATTAATTAATGGAAAAATTTTGGTTGCTAGAAAATAAATTGAAGTTTAAAGTATTGTAGGACAGATGTTGTTGTTCTAAATCCTTTCAGATTTGCATTCCTAAAGACCACAACTTTTAGCAGAGTTGCAACAGTACATGAAGTAACTGACATTGTCACTGGAATTCCCAAAAGTTCAGATACATACATTGATCAGACTAAATGCTTTCTTAATAATAATCTCCCAGTATAAAATACATAGCTACTTGGAAATCACCTTTATTGTGTCCGTCTCACATCTAAGACCTTCGGGTGTGACAGAAAAAGAAATTATATAAATTCAAGGCTAAGAAGTCACGAATAAGTAATTTGAACACAATGACAGTAGGGGAAAAATTAAATGCATTATACACGTTCTCAGAAATGTTCTTTATGCTAAAGACTCTTCAACATCTTACAAGCAAAATCAATAGGTTATCGTGCACTGACACGTACTTAGAGATAACCATGAACAAGCTTCCTGGAGAAGCTGTAAGCAACACCTACGTCACACGCTCAGCTTGTCACGTGCTGCCTTTCCCAACATTAATGTGTTATTATGAAACAAGATGAACGTCCAGCAGATCCACTAACCAACTTGGATTTCAACAACATATTAAGGTTAAATTCTAATACTGAGTTGAGAATCTTATATCAACGAAGGTGTGGAGGTGGAGGAGAGGAGACCCAGGAAGCCGGGAGGACGTAGTGTGCTGAGCGCGCCACCACCGGCCACACAACCAACATCATCCTCCCACCAGCACACCTCTGGTGTCTCAAAGCCAGGAGGAGGAGGAGACGAACACGCGTCCCAGTAAAGGTAACTGGTGAGTCTTCATGGGTCAGGAGGATGAATGTGGCATCTGTTAAACATCAGGAACGTGACGGAAGTTTCTCGGGAATTCCCGCTAGGTTTTGCCTTCAGTAAAAACACAAATACAAACCAGCGCCCCGTGTGGTGGTACTAGTGCACGCACACATCGTCGGAAGCAGTACCATGGACTCCACCATGCCCTTAGGAAGCATCATTTACATCCTAATAGCTCTACCCATATTGTTAGCTCTAATCCTCCTCCTCTGCCATATACGCCAAGCTTGCTGTTCAAGACCACAGCAGATGATGCAGATACAAATCAGCAACGGGATGGGGACTAAGACCAACGCAAGGAAGTCTGTGTTCTATGTGCCCAGAGACTCTACACAGCCGGGCTCCCCTAGCACACACCACGTGCCCACCACACCCGACGCCTCCAACATGACAACGCATTTGTCTCGTAGATCCAGCATCAACAGCGTTTACGGATTGGAAAGGGAGGAAGCAGCGTCCAGCAGCCATCACCTGCAGCCGTGTCTGCAGGGTGTGGCTGGTGCTGCTGACACACAACAGCAGGAGGATCACCCACCACTCAGCTGCCACTCCAGTCTCTCCGAGGAACACTTGTACGAAGAATACAATGAACAAACACACTTCAACACACTTCCACCGAAGGCTGCATTGTAGTAAGGGACCACAAGTTAAGTTCATAAAGTATGACAGACATTGATGTCTAATCCACCATGTGCTCTCAAATATATGTCCATATATATCACACAATTTAAAGTTTACAAGAAGTGTAGTGATGACACACATCAAATAAATACCTTTTATGGCTAGAACACACAAAAGTGATTGTCCAAGACTCAAGGCAAAGTGTTAATTTACCTGCCAATGAGGAACAAAATAATATAATTGTGAAGCAGAAGACAAATAACTACAAAGTGTGAGCTGTAGTCTCACAGCTACAAGTATCTACAGTAACAAACACAATACATGTAATGTTCTCTGCTTTAATACGTTGTGAAATAAAGGTTATTTGTTACATGAAATCCTTGTTTGTTTGTACGCTGGCTTTACCTTCACAAGCTTAACCCTAAGTTTATATAACTTGTTGTTCTTGCATTGGGTCATAATATGGCTTAGATGTTATGAAGCGTCATAATATGGCTTGGATGTTATGAAGCGTCATAATATGGCTTGGATGTTATGAAGCGTCATAATATGGCTTGGATGTTATGAAGCGACATAATATGGCTTAGATGTTATGAAGCGTCATAATATGGCTTAGATGTTATGAAGCGTCATAATATGGCTTAGATGTTATGAAGCGTCATAATATGGCTTAGATGTTGTGAAGCGTCATAATATGGCTTGGATGTTATGAAGCGACATAATATGGCTTAGATGTTATGAAGCGTCATAATATGGCTTGGATGTTATGAAGCGACATAATATGGCTTAGATGTTATGAAGCGTCATAATATGGCTTAGATGTTATGAAGCGTCATAATATGGCTTAGATGTTATGAAGCGTCATAATATGGCTTAGATGTTGTGAAGCGTCATAATATGGCGTACTAGTTACGCATCATCACAATAGGGTCTCTTATTCAGTACCATCACAATATGTGAGTAAGTAATGCAGAATTTGACCAGCACTACAAATAGTGAGATCAATCAGAGGAGTAACCCCAGCACCCTCGGCACTGACCCACTCGCTGTACTGACTGATAAATCCTCCTCCACCATCAACGTATAAATCACCACACATAAATTTTTATGGCATTTTCAGGAAATCCTCATACGTAAATACTAACATTTTATTCACCAAACAATAATCCCTCGCGAAACAGCACTTCACTGATCACTGGTTGGCAGGAGAGGAAAAGACCCAACAGCTTACGAAACCTAGCAGTAAAATAGGTACCTGGGTGTTAGTCAGCTGTCACGGGCTGCTACCTGGGGGTGGAGGCCTGGTCGAGGACCGGGCCGCGGGGACACTAAAAAAGCCCCGAAATCATTTCAAGATGACCTGCATATGTATCAACAAACATGTGCTCCCAAACACTACAAGGTTGTTTGCAACGATAACAACTATTATGTTTTGAAGCTCAAAAAGATTAAAGGATGTAAACAATGCCGCCATGATGGTTGAAAGATGAACAGGTTTCGTAAATGGATGCGTAAATACCTGATGAAACGTTTAGCCGTGATCAGGTCTAGTTATGTCGTGAAGTGGGTCGTTTGAACCCACGTATTCATCTCTGGAACTCATTGTTTCTCTTCAAAATTACCGAATCATTAACCCCCATTTGTTTTCATGTAGAAGATAGTGCAGATAAATATAGTGTTTACTGATACCTCACGTCCATATAGAACTTTTATCTTTCCACTGCTTTATTATCCTTACTACTGGAATGAATCTCGCATACATAGGTACAAGACTTGTTGAAGATCATTATAGAATCTTCTAGTAGGATCTTCGAGATAAGAAAGCATGATTCGACAAAATAAAATACAAACAAAAAAAATGTGAGTTTGAGAGTCAAAACAAGAACAACATTTTTCCTTACAGTTCCTGTTTTCGAGCCAGATGACGTCAGTCTCCAGTAAATATTTACACGAGTGATGGTATCAGAGAGCGGAAGCTTCTCCTGTGTGAGGGAGATGGCCAGTGGAGTCCCCGTGGCCGCAGGCACCAGTCTCTGTCGCACGCTTGATGGTAATATCTTACAATAGATCCTGGTGATGACCAAGCTGCTGGTGGTGGTGGTGGGTCTCCTGGCCTCGGCGGCCCACACTAGCCACCCTTACAACCTTCACCAGGACTATCACGCCGGAGACGCTCTCACTTCCTCAACGGTCCAACCTTCGTCGCTCAGTTCCATCATGGAGACTTCTGCCGTGGACACTAGACCAGTGGTTGCCCTCCCTCGTGTATCCCGTACTCTCTCTCTCGTCCACCAGCTGCCTCACGCCTCCAGCTACCACCAGCTGCCTCACGCCTCCAGCTACCACCAGCTGCCTCACGCCTCCAGCTACCACCAGCTGCCTCACGCCTCCAGCTACCACCAGCTGCCTCACGCCTCCAGCTACCACCAGCTGCCTCATGCCTCCAGCTACCACCAGCTGCCTCACGCCTCCAGCTACCACCAGCTGCCTCACGCCTCCAGCTACCACCAGCTGCCTCACGCCTCCAGCTACCACCAGCTGCCGTGTGGCATCTTCAGCAGTAACGTCGACCAAAACATCCCTCTCATACTCAGCCTCATCACTCCCAAATTGACCTCAAAAACGAATTTTTGTATTTTGGATGATGATAACCATGTAATCATCTGTGTCAACGTGACGATTACTGAATCGAAAGTTTATATTGAAACTCAACCATCACATTACAGAAATATTACGATAAGAGAAGCGAACGTGTTCAGTCATCACTACAGGCAAGAGGAGTGGTTTCACTTTTACATCAAGAAGGACGCTGTAGGACTGAGTATTACGCTGCTTGAGAATGACTGTACACTTCACACACAGATTCTGAACATCGGTCAGATTCCTGCGCGCAAAATAAGAGTTAACGTCAACAAATTTGGATTATCAGTGTTGGCCAACGACGACTCACTATGCGACATTAAGTGTCTAAGAGAACACCCGAAGTCAATCTCTCATTCACCAGTAGAGAGTAAGGACTCAAATGTCGCGGTTAAGAACGCAGCAGACAAGGACGCTGTAGATACGAGTAAAGAAACAGCAGACACGAGTACGACAGCAGCAGACACTCACAAGCAGACCATCACTGTACTCGTAGTACTTTCTGTGTCATTCGTCACCCTGCTTGTGACTTACGGACTATACAAGCTGTCCACATCTGGTGCTGTGGGGCACCTTCCCGCCCGCCCCGCCCCGCGGCCAGGCGCGCACCCACAGGTACACATCACCATGTTATCACCAATACAGAATCTCTAAAAATATATTACGACCACTCTGCGCCACCGATGTCTCCCCCCTCCCCTCCCGCCCCCCCAGCACCCTAATACCTTCCTGAGCTATCAGTGCCTCTCAGCACCAGTGCCTCTCAGCACCAGTGCCTCTCAGCACCAGTGCCTCTCAGCATCAGTGCCTCTCAGCACCAGTGCCTCTCAGCACCAGGACCGTCTCTGAGCAAAACAAAGGTCTCTCTTAACACTCCCAGTGTCTCCCAGACCAACCAGAGGTTATCTTGAGATTATCTTAAGGTTATCTTGAGATGATTTCGGGGCTTATCATCCCCGTGGCCGGTCCTCGACCAGGCCTCCTTTTTGTTACACATTCCCAGGAAGCAGCCCGTAGCAGCTGTCTAACTCACAGGTACCTATTTACTGCCAGGTTAACGGGGACATCGGGATTGAAAAAGTTTGCCCATTTGTTTTCACCGGGAATCGCACCCGGAACCTCAGGACTACGAATCCCGAGCGATGTCCACTCAGCTGTCAGGCCCCAGTGTATCCTAGCATTCCCAGCGTCTCTCCCAGCACTCCCAGTGTCTCCCAGCACTCCCAGCGTCTTCTAACAGAGCTTAATACTAATAATGGTCTATATTACTGTCCACATCAAGAGAGCAAACAATGACATCTCGTGACAGGGAATCAATACAGTAAAGGCCAGGCTGCTTGTACAGAACTGTCATCATTCACGAACAAATAAATATTACGAAAAGCATCTCGAGCTATTTATCTTCAAAACCTTTCATACATAAAAAAATAAAAAAATATTATGGTTTGTTATATAACATTCCAGTTATGTCTCAGCCTCCATAAAGCGACCAGCTTAAGGCCTAAATAACATGTTCAACTCTCCCCCCCCCCCCCTTGCAAGATGAACTGTTCATTGTTATAGGAACACAAAATGACTGAAAACACTGCAGTAGACAGCTTAATTATTTCCGACTTCTTATCCTCGTTACTAGCATCGAATTGCAGACAACGTATCATAACATATTGCTAATGCACCGAAGCTGCAGTGAGAGAAGTCAATTACTAATTATTAATTATAATATGTACAGATTGGTTCTAACTAATGATGTAAACAAATTCCACTCCGGTCTGATTATCACCTTTTGTGCCCCTATGTAATCCTTTTCTGTGCTATCGCTCACAGGACGAGTATAGGGTGCACAATTACAGGCATCCGACGGCAATAATCAATCACCAGGGTTGCATTCAAAATCACCAGGCTGACAGGGGCAAGGTGACACATACATTACTAGGGACATGTACAGAGACTGAGTATGGTGTCAGCCAGTCTGGGTTAAGGATAATATATATTGCAAAAGCTGGTTGACAGGTTTCAGGGACAGACTTGGACGTGACACTAAAAATCGACACTTGAGCCGCAGAGGACAGCGTGTACATTGTCTTTCCAACGAGAGAGGTAGTGGTTCACAGGATCTGGGTCCAGCCCATGTGCTCCAGTTGTCACAACGGACAGAAAACGTCACCTTTTTGTAAGCCTCACATCACACATTGTCGGTTGGGAATTTTGACGTCAAAATGCGCGATATTATTCGAGAGGACCGGTTGCTGGGTCGGCCTTGACGCGCGCACACACACTGACTGGTATTCCTGCGTGAGTAGTGATATTTGGTCGCTCTTCTCTTTTCCTCTCTTTTGTCTTTTTTAAATATAATTATACGTTTGTGTTCTAATTTAGCTCTGGTAGGAGAAGAAGCGGGAAGAAAGACGGTGAGATAATTTGCATGTTTTAAAGATCAAGATTTTGTGAGACGACGTGATCCCGAACCTGCCAGTAGAGGAACCCAGTACATGAGTAACGTCTGGGTCGTACCCAAAGCTGAAAACATCAGCAAAGTCATCAAGTGTCTAATCAAAAAAGGTCTTGAGAGTGCTGGATACAACACACTGACACGGTTCTTCAGTATGCTCACTGGTGAGGAAACCAACGCTTAAAGAAACAGAAAGCTGAAATAAGAAAGATGAGAAAAAAAAGACTAATTTCTGGACCATTGAGACTTAACTACGAGAGAACACTAAGGGCACACGAAGCACCACACACTGCACACAAGAACAGCAGAGACATGGTCACGGCATAGAAAATAATATAGCGGCTCGACTATTCTGAAATACTTCCCCATGAGAGGCAGTAGAACGGGGCGTATGGATGGATGTTCCTCTTTTTCCTCTTAATTCGTGTCACTTGTGGGAAGGGTTCTTCTTTCCAATGACTGCCTCTGGGTGAGGCTCCAGACCGTCCAGTCACATAGAGCTCATGAAGCGCCGCTCATGACTGTCAACATGGTACCAACGGAACGATCTCTTGATAATGGAAGCTAGTTCAATACGCAGCTTTAACATTTAATATAAGAAATATAAGGAAAAAGAGGAATGGCGTTAAACAATCGAGAGCCTGTGCGTTGAAGCACAGTAAGTTTAGCCAAGTCCTGAACATGCACACAAACGCATAGACACACTCACGTACAGACACACACGCACGTATGTACACCAGCACGTAAGCAAGCACACCAACAAGAATACCCAAAAGCAAACACATGCACCCAAGCACACTGGTGTGCACGAAAGCACAACTACACGCTGTCAGTGACGCACGCACGCTGACACTGACGCACGCACACACACGATAACAAGCCTCTAACCGCTGGTGCTGGGAAGGGTGCGCACCTGGGAACTTTTAGCGTTTATCATGCCAAGTTAACTCGGAGTGAGAGGAGGGGCGGAAATGAGGAGGGAGAGGGTGTGTGAACGAGAGAGATGGAGAGAGACCTGGAGAGAGGGAGAGAGAGATGGAGAGAGAGCTGGAGAGAGGGAGAGAGAGATGGAGAGATGTAGAGAGAAATGGAGAGAGAGAGAGCTGGAAAGAGGGAGAGACAGCCTGTGTGTACTCACCTATTTGTGCTTGCGGGGATTGAGCTCTGGGGCCAGATTCACGAAAGTACTTACGAACGTGTACATCTTTCCTCAATCTTTGACGGCTTTGGTTACATTTATTAAACAGTTTACAAGCATGAAAACTTGCCAATCAACTGTTGTTATTGTTATAAACAGCCTCCTGGTGCTTCGGAGCTCATTAACTGTTTAATAATTGTAAACAAAGCCGCCAAAGATTGAGAAAAGATGTACAGGTTCGTAAGTGCTTGCGTAAGTGCTTTCGTGAATCTGGCCCCTGGTTCTTTGGTCCCGCCTCTCAACTGTCGATCAACTGGTGTACAGATTCCTGAGCGTGTGTGTGTGTGTGTGTGTGTGTGTGTGTGTGTGTGTGTGTGTGTGTGTGTACTCCCCATCACACGGGATGGTTAATGGCACTTTTGGGCGTATCACGAGGGTTGACCACAACACGGGAACAACGGAAGTGTAGTTAACACTGCAACTTACCGGTCCAGCCATATATCCCCCATCTAGCATTATACAATTGAAAAATCCTAATTATTAATATACTCTGCTATTTTATTGCTCGTCAATTCTTAATTAATATGCGTAATGAACTGAATTTAAACAAATATTGGATCATAATTTTTATTAAATATATGGTAGAAAATTTTATATTCGTCAGCATGACAAATAGTAAATTTTTAAGAAAACTGACTGCAAAAATGTGATTGGTAAATCCCTACTTGGAGGGGGGGGGGGGAGGTCGTGGCGACACTGTCAAACAACCCGAGTGACTGTTTATCCTGCCAGTGGACGCAGGGAGTCGACGTCAGTGACTGTAGAGCAGTGGACGCAGGGAGTCGACGCAGAGAGTGGACGCAACGTGTGGACGCAACGTGTGGACGCAACGTGTGGACGCAACGTGTGGACGCAGAGAGTGGACGCAGGGAGTGGACGCAGGCAGTGGACGCAGGGAGTATAAGTTGTAATAGGGATAAAATCGGAACCATCCAAGTCCAGTTGGGTGTCTGACAAACTGATGTCAGTAAGGTCTTGATTGTGTTGAAGGTGTGAGGGACACCACAGGTGAGGTGAGACACTATGTGGTAACACTGGGATATGTAACACTGGGATATGTAACACTGGGATATGTAACACGGATATGTAACGCTAGGACATGTAACACTAAGATATGTAGTAATAGTAGGCATCCATCAGGCTCAGGAGACTATGGAGTTGCGCTCTGGTTGTCGCTCTGGAGTGGCCTCACCAGGGCGCAAAGCCAGTGTAGGTTGATACGGAGGAGAAGCTGTTACCCAAGCAGCAGGTCCACCCCTCTCCACGGCGCCGAAAGTCTCAAGTGGAACGACAAACGCCAATGTCCCACCAATGGTGAGGTGGGACACTATATGATAACACTGGGATATGTATACATATCGACAAATATATATAAAACAAGGGAGAGAGATGGCAACATCCGCAGACGCCTCTACATCACCTACAAGGGACCCAACATGCAGGCCTCCCAAGCTGGCTTTGTGTAGGGTAGTGCTGGCTAGTTACCTCACGGCCTGCTGCTGTCTGCGGGCCCGTCCTGCTGCTGTCTGCGGGCCCGTCCTTCCTACTGTCTGCGGGGCCCGTCGCTCGCTTGATTTATAAGCTTTAATCCACACATGTTAATAAAACGCCTGTGAAATCCATCTCTGTTCTTCCTACATCTCTGCTTAATCTTACCTTTGAGAAATTATATATATGAAACTTTCTAAATAATAAATGTAATACTTAAACGAAACTCGCCGTTTACCTAACTATAATTATGATGAAACAGACACGAAGGAATTCGAAAGATATCATCCCCCCCCCCCCCCCGCACACACACCGGGATGCTTAAAGCACTAGAGAGATAACATTGCTATCATTGCTTTCAGGAACAATACTAATGAAAGTCAACTTCAATACATATATATATATGATGTAAAGCCTTTCCAGCTTAGTATATATCAAAACAGATGCGTAAATAACAGACAAATAAACTTTGTGTGAGAAGTAACAGTCAGATGGAACTGTTGTTGGTTGAGAGCGAGTTATGACTTCAAGTGAGCTGGCGGAGCCTGTTGCCAGGCTGGTTCGTCACTGTTGTTCACCTGTTGCCAGGCTGGTTCATCACTGTTGTTCACCTGTTGCCAGGCTGGTTCATCACTATGTTCACCTGTTGCCAGGTTGGCTCATCACTGTTGTTCACCTGTTGCCAGGCTGGTTCATCACTCTTGTTCACCTGTTGCCAGGCTGGTTCATCACTCTTGTTCACCTGTTGCCAGGCTGGTTCATCACTCTTGTTCACCTGTTGCCAGGCTGGTTCATCACTATGTTCACCTGTTGTTGTCACTGATGTTTTTAAAATCATCACTTCAGCCTTCACTGATGTTGTTATAGATACAAGTGCATCCCATCCTCACACTAGGCTGGTTAAAGCAGCGGCTGTCCTCCCCAAACGCATTCATCAATTTTAACATAATGTGTATTAAAAATTGGTTTGTTCTCATATGTAAATTATTATACATAATAATTCCATGTATAGTTAGGCATAGGTTAGGTGTTTAAGTTCGGTTGGCGATTAATTTTATTTGAAGTACGTAGGTGAAGCATTTATAGAATTGTGGTTCGAACAGAGGGCGTGAACGAAGCACTTGTTCCGGAAGTGTTCGAACGTCATCAGTTGAGTCGTGTGTTAAGCGCTTTTCATTCATAAACAGAGGGTTTGGCGGCTGGATTAACGAGCTTGGATCTTGGTATGCGAGGACGGGCTTTTACAGACGAGGCTGTCGCAGATGAAGCTGTCACTGAGGCTGTCGCAGATGAAGCTGTCACTGAGGCTGCCACAGACGAAGCTGTCACTGAGGCTGACACAGACGAAGCTGTCACTGAGGCTGCCACAGACGAAGCTGTCACTGAGGCTGCCACAGACGAAGCTGTCACTGAGGCTACCACAGACGAAGCTGTCACTGAGGCTGACACAGACGAAGCTGTCACTGAGGCTGTCGCAGACGAAGCTGTCACTGAGGCTGTCGCAGACGAAGCTGTCACTGAGGCTACCACAGACGAAGCTGTCACTGAGGCTGTCGCAGACGAAGCTGTCACTGAGGCTGTCGCAGACGAAGCTGTCACTGAGGCTGCCACAGACGAAGCTGTCACTCAGGCTGCCACAGACGAAGCTGTCACTTAGGCTGCCACAGACGAAGCTGTCACTGAGGCTGCCACAGACGAAGCTGTCACCGAGGCTGCCTCAGACGAAGCTGTCACCAGGACTGGTATAACAAGCGTTACTTATTCTTGGTGGCAGAGTACTGTTACTACTGCCGCCGCCGCCGCCGCCGCGCCCACTGCTACGGTCGACTCAAATTAAAACTTTGCTAACTTGTTATTTACTGGTCGTGCTCTGTACTCGTAAGTCGCCACCATGCCTAGGAGAGGCCCGGCTGCTGGCGAGGGGCGGCGGGGAGGGGTTGAGGGTCGCGGGGAGGCGTACTGTGGAGCTGAGGGCCGGTGTGGTGCGTGGTGTAGGGGGAGCAGCGGGGAGGTGTACCGGGGAGGTGGCGAGAGGAAGTGAGGTGGGGGGCGCAGGAGGGGCACTGGAGAAATGTTGTGGGGGGGGGGGAGATGGGTTGGTGGCGGGGAGCAGCGGGGAGGGGTGGCGGGGAGCAGCGGGGAGGGGTGGCGGGGAGCAGCGGGGAGGGGTGGCGGGGAGCAGCGGGGAGGGGCGGCAGGTTACGGTGAGGCGGTTGGGGAAGGGGTGAAGGGTGAAGGTCAGGGGTCATTGTTTCTACTTAATTTCTATATTTCGAGTGATGACAAGAATGTTGCATTTAAATAATGTTAGAGAGCACTATATGCAGTTACCTCAAGGGGTATTACAAAAAACTATTGATGATTTGTATTAACAACAATTAGTAATTTGTACGAATTTTTAAGTCTTGTGATAAATATCGTGTCACCCAAACATTAAAACTAGACAAGAAATAATATCTTTTTCTACAGTCATGCATGAAGACAGCGTCACCTTCCTAATAATGCTTCAAGTAAGAAGCCCATAAATATTATTAAGATAATATGACAGTCGTTAGAACTTAGAGATCTTTCTTACTTTCAAAATTTGTCATTACGTTGTCAACCCTCCATGCTACTACCGCAAATTTTGTATGGAACGTTGCATTCTGGCGAAACAAAAGCAACTGAATTTACACATGTCATTTCTTGGATAAACTCTTCGAATACTGCCCACAACACCATACCTGACGGTCGAACACCTGACCTGTGATGCGTCCATCGTTCAGCAACCCGTCCGCGACTGAAGTTCATTACATTCAGCGGTCAACCCCACAGATGCATTCATAAATTTTAACATGCTGTTTATTCAAAACGGGAATTTTCTCAAATAAAAATTTATATTATAGTATATTAGCATATTGTGTATATATAGGCATAGGTTAAGTTTTTGGTTTTGTTGGCGATTATTTGTATTTGTATTACGTGGGTGAAGCATTTATAGCGTTGTGATTCGAACAAAATTCGTCAGTGAAACACTTCTTCCGGATATGTTCGAACGTCAGCAGTTGTGAGTCGTGTGTAAACCGCTTTTCATTCATAAACAGGGGGTTTGGCGGGTGCATGGAATCACTTTTGGATCTTTGTTTGGAGGACGGGCTGAGAACAGAGGACGAGAGCGAAGCACTGTTAGAGAAAAGTTCGTACGTCACCAGTTAAGAGTCGTGTGTGTAAAGTGTTTTCATTCATAAACTCAGGGTTTAACGATTGGATTAACGAGCCTTTGGGCGTTGTTCCCAAGGCCAGACTCTTTAAAAGTGCGGCCGTCCCCAAAGATACAATAATCAATTTTAACGTTTTATTAACAAACAAATTGGTTTCTTATCTTTTATATATTATTATATATCAAATTTCTGTGTTTAGTTAGACGTAGGATAGATTTTGTTAGTCGTTTAGGTCCTGTTGGCGATAATTTTGATTTGAAGTACATTGATGAAGCGTGTACAGCGTTGCGATTCGAATAGACGCCATCAGCGAAGCACTGTTCGATATATGTTTGTACGTCATCAGTTATGAGTCGTGATTAAACCGTTTTTCATTCATAAACAGTGAGTTTGTGACTGGATTTAATGAGCATTTGGCCTTTGCTGAGGAGGCCAAAATGTTTTCTTCCTATTTGAATATATAGAGTTGAGCACTGTTCAAGAACAGTTAGAACGTTGGTAGTTGTGAGTCATGTGTAAAGTGTTTAGCAATCATAAACGTTGATAGAGGCGAGGAGAGACGGGGGAAGGGAGGTCTAAAGAGGCCGAGACAGAGAGGCCGAGACAGAGAGGCAGGGACAGAGAGGCAGAGACAGATAGTCCGAGACAGAGAGGCAGAGATAGAGAGGCAGAGACAGATAGTCAGAGACAGAGAGGCAGAGACAGAGAGGCAGAGACAGATAGTCAGAGACAGAGAGGCAGAGACAGATAGTCAGAGACAGAGAGGCAGAGACAGATAGTCAGAGACAGAGAGGCAGAGACAGATAGTCAGAGACAGAGAGGCAGAGACAGATAGTCAGAGACAGAGAGGCAGAGACAGAGAGGTAGAGACAGAGAGGACGAGACAGTCAGAGAAAGAGAGGACGAGATTAACAAGTATTTGGTGACTATTTACGAGAACAAGTTGCTGCCTGAATCAACAATATTGAGCACCTGCTCATCCCTGCCACAACCCTGGCCTGCCACAACCCTGGCCTGCCACAACCCTGGCCTGCCACACTAACACCTGTCCCCTAAAATTGTTATCGAAAAGTGAACTTTTTGTTAGAAAAACTTCGAGTGTAATCAGTTGTAAATCACGTGTGAAGTACTTTCCGTTGTTAAGCTGGAGCCTGGCTGCTGGGCTCAACTACATTTAAAACAAAATTGGAAATCAGGTTGTTTTTTTTATTATTTACTTAATGAATTTGTTATTT